ATATTCACCCTGGTTGACGGTCTGGTGATGCAATCTTTGAATACGGCAGATCTCGAAAAGAATTCACCCGGCAGCGCGTGAGACCAGAAATCTCACCACTTTCATATTAACTGGCGCCATTCACCACATAAGAATCATGAAACCATCAAACCATAGAATTATATACAAATGAAAATGGGGAAGTTGAAATTTCAAATAAATCTTGGTCATTGCACAACACATTTGCTGTACTTGTGTGTGTCCCACCCTGTAGTGCCAAGACATACAGTGCGTTTCAAAAGTATGTGCACACCCTCAAAATTCACGTTTGAAAGGGAACCATGAGGTTTCGTGCTATGAAATCCTTCTCAATCGATTTCTCGTAGTCGATAACCTATCAATGGAAGCAAAGCAGATAATATCGCCTCACTTTCGGAAAAATTTTTTGGATGAAATTTTTTTCTTTGTTTCAAAAGTATGTGCACACTTGAAGAAGATCAGATTTTGGCGCCGAATTTTCCACCGATTTCAATCCGACTTTGCTGTTTTCATTTCGTCATCATGTCAATTCGCGCCATACTTCTTCCTGAAGATGAGCAAGCTCAGATCAAGGTTCTGCATGATAATGAACGTTCCAATCTAGAAATCGCACGATAACTTGGTCGTTCTCCTTAATGCATTCGAAGATTTATCTGGCACCCTGATAATTATACTCAGCACACACTCCGCTCCATCCACGATCCTTGACTGCTCAGAACAACAAAAGAGTAGCCCACATCCTGTCGGATTCTTCATTGACAGTCCGAGCTCAGATTTTTATTCCAGCCTCGAAAATGACCACTAAGCCCCTCATCCGCTCAAATGAATACACCACTCGACAGACGCTGAGAAAGGCTACTCACTTCAAGGCCCAGCACAAGTTAGCCACATTGGAGTCTGCTCGTACAGACATGGCAACATAGGATAGGACACCGGGCGAAGACACGGTTTTTCGAGAATTTCCTATTTTCAAAACAAGCAACTTTTTATGGACTTTCTCTCCTCAGGTAATCTTAACTCATGGAAAGAGTTCGATCTTGACGGGCCGGGTGGATTTTTGCTACTACTGGAGAGGCTTGGCCGTGAGTCGCTCGCTCTCGAGAAGGAATTTCGGAAGAGGCCCGTTGATGGGTCTGCGGCGGTTTCGCAATCAGCGGAAATTCAGAAGTTGCCGTTCCATTATTGCGTATGAACTGTAAAGAATACCAAGCAGTGCTCCAATGTCACCTGTTGCCTTTCTTAGCGAAGCGGAGCGAAAATTGCATTTTTAGCAACAGGACCACGTGTCTTTCGATGCTTCGCAATCTACCAAAGAATGGCCTTAACCAAATGGTGCTGAAGCGATAGATTGGCTTGTGTGTCCTCCTTACTGCAACCCTATAGGGAGCCCTTGATCAAGGCGTTAACTTTAGCAACCGGCAGTATAATACCGCGGATGAACTGAAGGCGGCGGTAGAGGCTATTGGGCAAAGGGCAGACGGGTCAGCGGGCGCGTAGGAGCGCGCCTGTGGACGGGGGACGCGCCCTTTTTTTCAAGCTTAGGCCGATGTCATAGTTTGCGAATCGAGCTCAAATCGCTGGATCCGAGCGTTGCGCCAGCGAATCGAACGTTGCACCAGCGAATCGAACTTTGCGCCAGCGAGTCGAACGATGTACCAGCGAGTCGAACGATGTACCAGCGACTCGACACTGTTGAAAGTGCGGGACCCAACGTTTAAAGGAAGTCGCCACTTTCAAACAGTGTCTTCCTTAAAGTGGACTTCCTTCGAACATTGGGTGCCGCCACTTTCAAACAGTGTCGAGTCGTTGCTGGTGCAACGTTCAACTCGCTGACGTATCGCGCTCTGATATCGGCCTTGCTCAAATTCATTAAGTACGCAGTGCTACTCGTCCGCTGACCAGTTTGCGGACGAGTAGCACTGCGTACTTGGTGAATTTGCGCAAGGCCGACTGACTTAAGTTCAAATAGGACCCTTTAGATGACTGAACACGCAGTCATACATAAAAGCAGTAAACAGTACAATGATGCTCTCAAATGCTTTATAATAAATACGTCCTTTAATAATGGGTTCGGCTTTTGAGTAATTTGTGAATGAAATCGATTGAATCTGCAAAAGTTGATGAGCATGACGAGTTTCTGTTAGTCAGTGGCGCACACTTTTCTGAAACACATGAAAATAAAAGCATGGATGATGTTGAATCCAACAAAATGGCTGTGTTTGAAATCCCTACATTTGCAGAAACCTCCTCAAGCTGTTCTAACTCACCGTTTTATTCTTTGCCTTCTTTCTCGTAGAAGGTGGGGGTTGCTCTATGCTTTTCGTTTTTGACTTGACATCGCCTGCTTTTGACTTGAGGGCAGGAGCTGCGTTTGAGGAAGACTGAAAATAAGAGAAGATGTCCACCAGACAAAATACCAAACCAAAAAAAGTTGCGGGATGGCAAGTGTTGAAGTGACGCAAAACCGACGCGAACCTTACGTGATCTTCGGCACAGATTGGGTCTCACTCAACCAAGACAAGCTATATTTCACAAAGCAAAGTAGCGTCAAAGAGTCTACTTTGGTTTGTGAAATACACATCATATTGTTTCCTCATCAGATCTACTTTCACTGCGGCAAATACAATGTCTTCCGTGCTATGTATAGCGCTGTGTCTGTCTATTTGTGTTTATGTCACGAAGCCGATTATTGAAAAAGAATATTCTTCTTGATAAAATGGCGCTCCCACAAAGAGCAGAGTCCGTTCAGGCCTAATGCGTACCACACTTCCAGTTTCAACCCTAGACCACTTGCTTAGGTAACCTTTGACCTAATCACACTCAACATCCCACCTTTTAGCGAAGGAACTATGCACTAAACAATGCATTCATATGAAGTAACTTAAGTCTTTTCCTTGCGAAATTCAGAAGAAAATGTTCCCAGAATATTATTCGAGTCAATGGAATTGTATGGAGGCAAGTGAGAGTCATATTCACAGCGACAGAGTATACTGAATAAATGCATTGATTGTGGTAAACAAATGTTTGGTTGAGGATTGTTTGTAAGCGTACAGCAAGTTCGATCAGATGAATATTTTGAGGTAACCGTCCAAGATCAGATATTTTCATCTGGGTAACTCTTTGGCTCCTTCGCCTTCGTCAGATCGCCTGAGAAAGATCAAGAGCACTTGGGAGACAGAGGTCTCCCTTCTGTTTTGTATGCATGAGGATCCATTTAATACCTCGCGCGCTGTGCCAGGTATTGAATATTAGGATGGTAAGAAAGTCCTGAGCCGTTTGACACTTTTTTGCTTTACTTTTTTATTCCGCGTACAATGGAATTTACTCAACAATATAATCACCATTGAGAACCTAATGGGCAGGTCAGCGACCCCCTTCTCCCAGAACTGAGCAGACTGAGAGTCAAAGAAATCGCTGACCGCTCTTTCAACGTCTTCAACTTTGGTGAATTTTTTCTTCGCTAGGAATGCCTTGAGGGGATGAAATAAGTGATAATCAGAGAGGGCAATGTCAGGGGAATAGGGTGGGTGGGGAACCGCGTCCCAGATCAGCTCTTCCAATTTTGCACGGGTCTCTTTAGCTATGTGGGGCCTGGCGTCATCGTGGAGTAGGTGGACAGAAGTTCGTCTCGGTCGTTTTTCTCGAACAGCGTCCGCTAGTTTCTGGAGCTGACTGGCGTAAATGCTGCCGGTAGCGGTATGCCCTTGCGGGAGCAGCTCATAATACAACATTCCTCGCGAATCCCAGAGGCAGCAAAGAAGACAGCTTTTGGGGTGAAGGTCCGATTTTGCTTGTGTCGGCGGGTCTTCTCCTCGAGGGAGCCACACGGCACTGTGCTTGTTAGAATCGTAGAGGACCCAACTCTCATCTCTCGTAATCATGCCTTCCAAAAACTCCTTTCGGTGCGGACAAAGAAGGAGAAACTGACAAATGGGTACCCGCCTGAACCGCGTGCTATCGGTCAAGACATGAGGAATCCATCGAGTCGGCACTTTCCTGTGGCGAGGGCGTGGAGGGGACCGAGGACTGTGGGATGGGTGCACCCGAGTCTTATCACAAGGCTGCGGGTGCTAACTCCGGATCCTCTTCGACAGCGCCGAGAACGGTGGAGTCTTCCACTGTTTGGGGGCTTCCAACCTTGACTTGTTTTCGGAAGCCGTGTCTCCTCCTCTCGAAGCCTGCGAACCAGAGCTTGGCACTGATGATGGAAGTGGTGTCCCTTCCCAATGCGATGATGTTGACGGTTTCCACTGCTCCTGTGCCGCAGCGCCATTCATTGAAGATGATCGCTCGAAAGTGCTCTTGTGGAATCGACATCATGATTAAAGTTAAAGAAGGCAACCCGGCATATACCTACTGCGGAGAAGTATGATCGACAGCGATAGTCTATCACGTAGCAGATTCTAGGTATCGATCAATAAGCGAAAGTTCTGGAGCTTTCGAAAAATCGGCTCAGGACTTTCTCACCATCTCAAGTAGATCCCTCATGCAATCACCTGGCTTGCCAGATGGACAAATTATGCAGTCAAGGATGTCGCTTGTACAGCTTACCTCAAACGTTTCGAATTGCTGGAGATTGAAGATTTAGTCGAATTGTTACTTACTTCGTCCGAAATGAAGGGCAGAAGGGTACCGTGTTAGATGACCATTGGAAATACGCATTCCTACGCACATTGATCGCAACACAGGATATCCATTCGACACCGCAGTGTTATGTCGAAAGACTTCCTTTGCAATGCGCTATTGGACGACGCCATACTTGCAGTCCTCAACACGTTGATGACTTCCTCCCGCTCTTTCTTGTAGGGTGTGTGGAGCTGTGGTAATCAGAATGTTTCCTGCGCTCGCGGCACCATTTGTTTTCAGTGAGCTCACATCAACTAGACCCAGATGTGGGAAGATTGTCTCTACGCCTACAGTTCGACCTGGCTTAGCGACAATCTTAGTGCCCGGAATCGATAAACCGTTGTTGACTGCAGAGAATGTTGAACGAGATAACAGGATCCATGCCGGCGCATGAGCCCAGGATCACGGCATGGAAAACCCTAGAGGATTTGGATGTGAGCGAGTGACTCTGAAATCATTAAAAAGAAGGAGTATCCAGGTATTGACTGTGTTCAGGTATTACCCGTAATCTTGCGCCCATCTCCGACCGATCTTTGCATGTTTTGACCCACATGAGGTCGAGTCGAGGTCGACGTCGACTGGGCGGAGGTGGTTCTGTTCAGCTGACGCGCAAGTTTGTAATACAGCGGCTTCGCTTCGTGGCGGCGTTGACAAAGGTAGGCCTGGCAGTATACATTGATCGATCAATACCGCTAGGTTCGACTAAGATATGGATCGACTTCAGTATTGAGAAGGCGATTGAGAGAGTAAGGCACATTTGCTTTTGGTGTTTTCAGGCTCTGAGGCGGAGACGCCGAAGCAGTAGCCTTACAGTGTTTTTTAAACGGCTACAATCATATAGGATTAGATCCGTTTTGGGAGGTGTCGAAAGTAAGAAACGATTTGCATCAACCGGTCTTGATAACAGCGTTTCTAGCCCGCTTTAGGCGGTCCAGGAGCAGGATGGAAATGATAAATGGGTCGGTCAAAAAGGCTGAAACTCAACTGTTTGATCTAAAACAACAACCCATCCTTTGCAATAATGTCCATGCGGAACTTAATCACTTCATAAATTCAGAATATTGTGCTCGAAAACGGCACAACGGCGACTTTAATGTCATTCAGGTCGAAGTGATTCCTCTCTCAAGGACTGCCTTCAGAGCGGAAAAGTGGTGAACCATCAAAAATACACCTAGGTAAGGTGGAGCATGATTATGAAGTTTCAAGCTGCTCTCGGAATGGAATATTCACACGGAACATTTCGCAGTGTGCCACTTAACGTAATATTGCAGAACCTTTTCTTCTTTTTCTAATACTCGATCATCACGCTCACAGCCTCATGGCAAGACTTTAGCGTCGTCGATGAAGTGCTTGAAGCTAGAGAACCTTGCACTGAACCAGGCCCTCGATCAATCACCGCACAGGATCGATCGATTGAAGGGGATCTTTGATGCAATTTGTGATTTTTCAAAATTGTTCGTTTTTGTTCACACTCCGGAACCCATTCGTGCAGTTGGCTGAGCCCGATGCCTTCTAGTACCCAAACTCTACTGTAGTTGTCACTGAGATAAGCCTATTTCATTTTGCATACATAATGTAGGTAGAGTCTTCGACTCTACATGCATCATATTCATACTCAGTATCTCCAGGCCTGGGGGCCAATCTCGGACTGCGCTCTTTTTATGGGGGTGCTTTCGAAGGAAACCACCGAAACTGAGCGACGAGCCAAAGTCCGCCTGTACCTCCCAGTCTCGAAGTGATAAAGTACCAGCAGTCGAGTATTACAAGTTCCGCTTTTTCAAAAACGATCAAAACAACAAAAAGCCTTTGAGACTTTTTTCTGAATACTGCCGCCCCAAAAGTGTTGGTTCATCAGGGTCTTCTGTCTTGTGTTTGTTGCGGAAAGGTTCATGCTCAGTAAAACCTCGTCGACGAACTTCGCCTTTCAGCTCTCAAATTGACCAGGAAATCTTGCCACAATATTAAGTACAACGACTCGAATACGAGTATAGGAATATTGGAGGAGTTTCGTGATAGGGAGAGGCGTTGAATTCATTAGTATTTTCCTAATTGCGCGAAGACATATTGAGTACACCACCTGTATCATACACGCACAAACAACCCTGAGTACTTGGCATTGGGTAGGCGCACCAACGTATTGAGGTGAATTGCAGTGTTGTTCCCTTTATGAAACATAAAACGATACAGTGATGTACGCCGATTTTTATGGACGGTCAGCTATCGAGCAAAAAGAAGCCACGCACTGAGCGGATTTGCCGACGGTGACGCTATGGTTCAAGTCACCTTTTCTTGCATATATAAGGGTTGTGGTCATCACATATCTCATGAGCTTCTGCGCTTTCCTCGTAAATGATCTAGCGCCATTTATGCGGTAAGTCTCAATCGTACGGTTCGAATTCTTAAAATCGAATTCACTCACTAACCTCTGAGAAATACGCGTCCCACAAAATATCAACTGCGGACAATCCGCCAACAATCAATACCGTCCGAGAGGCTTGGAAGCAGTACCTTTCCGGAAAATCTCCCAATGTTTTGGTCACGCTAAAGGGTATGACTGGAACCATCTAATGGAGGGGCAAGGTTACAACTGTTATCGCAGTTGCAAATTTCATTAAGTACATGTATCATTAAGGATGTCTAATGATGAAAGTGAACTCATACGTTCAAGGCAGCATGTCTTTCGGAAAAAAATTAGAGAAAGTTTGTGTTTGCTTTTCTCATTTAAAGGACGAATTCACGATGAAAAAGCAACCCATTTCAAATTAACCTAGGGATGGTGAGTGGTACACGAAAGAAGGAAGAACCATGAGAAACGGCCCAGAACCCGAGAAATGGGACCCCTTCCTTGCCCGTTGATTTGAGCATTGATGCGACTCTCATCGCTGTGCCCTCTTCAACACTACGCTCTCTCAGCTATCTAATCACTCGCCACGTATTGAACTACGGCGAGTGATCAGATGATCGGTGGGCGGAGATCGCCGGACCCGCCAGCTTTGAGGCATGATAGGTCGCCGAGGTCAAATTTTTCCATGCGAATTGCGCGTCAGTTCGCACCCTCAGGAGGTCCGTGGGTCCCTCAACTAGGTCAGTTTCCCTTTCTTCGACCTTCATTCTAATCGTGAATTCCTCCTTTAACTTATCTGCTGCATATCGATTCATCGCTTTAAAGTTGTTGCTGTTGGAAATTTGCAAAGGAATCATTCCCTTGTTTCTGAGAGCGAGAAAAGGGTGAATACACTGTATATAAATGATGTAAAACAGAGCTGCAAACATGTTTTGAAACAGGGCGCTTTCTAATTGAAGGCGCACACCGCAACTCAGTGACTACTGTAAAGTCTCCAAGGACATAAGAGGGCTTGATCGCTCTCCTAACATTCCCCTCCTTTGAGTAACAGCCCAGATACAGGGTTATTCAGTTACAGTGGGTTGTTGGCTCGAGAGCGTTGACTTGAGGGAACTAACATTCAACATCGTTTGAGTCAATTTATTTTTCAACTACTGCTACGACACTGAATCAAAAGTTGTCGTTTCTCTGTATGCCTACCCTTTTCCGTGAACCTCAAAGAGATTTCTAGGCAGTTTCATGGCGAGAGGTGAGCTAAAGCACTAGATACAAAAATGGTATCATTGTGTACATATACCATGAACTCCAGCATGTCTATGGTAAAGCATCATGGACGAACTGAATCGGCAGATGCAACTTTTGATGTTCCAGGTCATTTGAACTCTAAAGGGCTCTGCTATGCAAAATTATACCTTAATGATTTCCACATCTGATCCTATTGTGACTATTTCATTTTGACCAGTATCATATTGCACTCTGACAATTTCTCGAGATTTTTCATCATCCAGAGCATGTTTCTGAAATTTGATCATGCGATTAGAGGTTCATTGCTATGAGTCCTTTAAAAAGATTTTACGCGAGTATAGTGTACACAACAAAAACTCTTTTTCCACGGTTAATGTCTTCTGCTAGGGAAGCACTATGAGAAAGAAAGTAAACGCATTTGCCTTCCCTAGCTTGGAAAACGCTTTTGATCGTGTTTCATACGTAGAATGTGGTACGCCTCACAACACTGCGTCCTCGAAGATATTGCTTGGATTTGCATGCTCTACTCAAGCCCAAAGAGCCGAGTGCAAACGTCAGCTGGCGTTTCAACAGAATTCCCCATCTCTGTTGGGGTACATCAGGGCTCTGCGCTATCCCCACTTCTTTTCGTTGTCGTCATGGATGCCATCTCACGAGATCTTCAGAAACCGGCTCCATGGACGCTTCTCTATGCTGATGACGTGATGCTCGCCTGCGAAGACAAAAACGTACTCGAGCAACAAGTGCAAGCCTACTGCGACCGCCTGGCGATGTTCGGACTCAGGTTGAATGGCAAAAAGACTGAGTACCTGACAACCGAATTGAGCGAGTGCGGTCTATCAAAATAAATGGCTCAGAGCTGACACGTACAACGACATTCAAGTACCTTGGATCAGCAATTGCGTCTGATGGCAACAGTATGAGTACTGAGGTGAACTCGCGTGTGAGTGCGGCTTGGTCCAAGTGGCGTTCTATGACGGGAGTTCTCTGTGACAAGAAAATCCCAGAACGCCTAAAATCGAAGATCTATAGGACAGTCATAAGACCAGTGGCATTGTACGGCGCTGAGTGCTGGCTAGCAGCTACCAATGGATATTGAAGCTGCGTCTGTGTAATGTAAAGAAAGATGCTGCGCTGGAAGGCTCATGTTACACGATTAAATACAAGGGTACGATACGGTAGCCTCAGAATCCCATCAGGCAATCAATCAGGGAAAGTGGCCAGTTTACCAGAGAAGCGGATCCGCCACCGAACGTAACAAACGCTAAAAAAAGAAGAATAAGATCCACGACAAGCGCATTTATATGGAGAGAGACCGCTGATATCGTTGCGGAAAGAGGTTTCCATAGGTGCAGCAGCCAGATAATTCATCCTTGACCGTGCCACATAGGCCGCGCGCGACAAGCAGCCAACTAGCCGCGAGATGTATCACAGTGACAACAGCAGGACATAGTAGCAATTCATACATTTGTTTCCTTTTTTCGGGTGCGCAGCTGCTTTCCATGTTTTGTGCCTTTGCTTTACAGATCACACCTTACTATCCTTCTATTATATTAACGCTAACTTTGTGTGTCAGTTTATATGTATGTGTGTCCGTATGTATATATCCTTCTATTATATTAACCGCTAACTTTGTGTGTCGGTTTGTATGTATGTATGTCTGTATGTGTGTGTATGTATGTATGTATGTGTGTCCGTCCGCAAAATGAAGTGAGTGAGAAGGAAGCTCATGGGATAAACAAACCGCTAACAAATCGGGTAGCTTACTTTGAGATATCAATGTTTTGTAGCAGGATAGTTGTGATAACACTCCTACGGCTATATAAACACCTGCTAACAAGGGAAGGATGGTAGGTCGAAGTGGCCGTTCGAAATGAAATGTATACCTCCTGATGCGTCTCCAGACGCTGATTCCAAATCTGCCTTCCAAATCTGCTAAACGACTCTCCGAACGGAGTTATGAAGCGTAATAGCTCAGTGGTGATGGTCCGGGGTGGCAGGTAAAAGCTCGTAGGATCGGTTCCTTTGCAAATTGGTTGCTTTGCTTTTGTCTCTAGAAGTGTTGCGGACAAAAGCAAAGCAACAAACTTGCAAAGGAACCGATCCTACGAGCTTTTACCTGCCACCCCGGACCATCACCACTGAGCTATTACGCTTCATAACTCCGTTCGGAGAGTCGTTTAGCAGATTTGGAAGGCAGATTTGGAATCAGCGTCTGGAGACGCATCAGGTGGTATACATCTCATTTTATACGGCCACTTCGACCTACCATCCTTCCCTTGTAAGCACAACCCGTCATTCCACATGGTGCTGCAGTGGCAGCTGGAGGGCAGTGGAGAGAGGAAGGATGGGGAGGAAGGCGAAAAATCTACCGTCATATCATGATTGTGTCCCTTCTACTGTATGAAACACCATTGTGTTGCATACGCGTCACTTCCAGAGGTGTTGGTGTCACAGGAGGAAGGGACCATAGCGGAGGATAGAAAGCTTGCGCAGGAAAGGAAGGTCCCGGCGGTTGACGGGGGACTAATCTGGTAACTATTAAAGACGTAGTCCACAGAGTTCAGCAAAAATTCTGGGATTCACTAGGACTTTCCTTCAATTCGTCATGACCAGAGCCCCTAGGATGGTTGATACATCGACGTACGAGACAACAGTGCAGTGAGCGCGATTATTACTAGCGTTCGCGTGCTTTTCAAGGAGACTGTCCTGCCACTTTTGAAGCCCTCTCGATGGCATAAATATCGATGAAAGGGTAAAAAAAAGATACAAATACACGTAATAAATTTAACCCACATGAACGTATGAATGAACCAGAGTTGTTATCACTTTAGGTACTATTTCAAGAGCCCAAAAAATTGTCACGGATCTCGATAAACAAGAATGCTGTCGGTTTCACCTGCTACGAGCTTCAAGAAAGGTGGAAGAAGCGACAATAGAAAGATTAAATTCAGGAACATGGAACAGCTCGGCTTGGCATTTCTGCAAGAAATGAAGTTCCGCTAAGAAGGAATCGCGGTTAGGCGAGCTTCAGAACAGCTTCAGAAGCTTCAGACCGCTCGAAGAAATTTTCGACGGGGACGGTTCTATTTGTTACAAGGGTAACCGTGGAGGTCGGTAACGAGCACGTCAGTGGCACAATGGTGCAGGGAGGGGAGAGTGTAATGTATTGAAAAACAAGGTCATAAGATGTGTTCTCTGTAATACTTTGGTTTCTTACACATATCATCATCACGTAATACATTTCAAATGATTCTTCATATTCTTGTGGAGGTGCAATGCATTTCCCACACCGGAACGAAACCTAACGATAACGACTGCTCTTCTCATCATTTACGTTGTACTTAAAGTGCAATGAGATGCTGTGAAAGTTGCTGACGTATAAGGCAATGATGGAGAAGGACCACTTTTTGGAGGGCGAAAAATCGTTTTCGGCACTAGGCATTTCCTCAGTTAGGAAGCCTGGGAAGGTGCTAGACGCTTATTAGATTATTATTATCACCAGATTAGTCCCCGTCAACCGCCGGGAACCTTCCTTTCCTGCGCAAGCTTTCTATCCTCCGCTATGGTCCCTTCTCTGTGACACCAACACCTCGTGGAAGTGACGCGTATGCAACACAATGGTGTTTCAAACAGTAGAAGGGACACAATCATGATATGACGGTAGATTTTTCGCTTCCCTTCCTCATCCTCCCTTCCTCTCTCCACTGCCCTCCAGCTGCCACTGCAGCACCATGTGGAATGAACGGAAGTGTGCTAAGCAGGTGTTTATATAGCCCTGAGAGTGTTATCACAACTATCTACAAAACATGATATCTCAAATCCTGTAAGCTACCCGATTTGTTAGCGGTTTGTTTATCCCATGAGCTTCCTTCTCACTCACTTCATTTTGCGGACGGACACACATACATACATACACACACACATACAGATACACAAAAACCGACACACAAAGTTAGCGCTTTATAAAATAGAAGGATTATAATCATCCCTTTCTAAGACTGTGTTCGCTTCCTCAACGTTTTCACAGTTAGAGATATATTGCCTTCAAGAGCAAAACTCTGCATGAAATCTTTTGCATTTTCGATGCTGACTCAACGCAGTTCGAGAGAAAATGTCTTTCCGAATGGAAGACTTTAAGAGCATATTGATCTGGCAACTAAATTATAACTTTTGATCTCCCGGCCCTTGCCGGAACCTCCCACCCTGCGTAAACATTTCACCTCCCACTTGGAACCTGTGTTCCCTTTCACCTGTGCCACCAAAACCTTTTATAGGTTACGCGTATGCACAAAAAATGTTTCGTATTGCAAAGGACATCATGGAAATTATTAAATGAGAGGCGAAATAGGCGGAGCCGTCTGGAGCAAATTTATGTCTGAAAAATTGAGAAAAAAAACGAACTTCGCAACAAAAAAGGAAATTTTGGGGAAACTTTTGTATGACAAGGTACAATAATTTGCGGTTGTATGTATGTATGCATGTATGTATCCATCCCTAGCCCCGTTACCTCAAAGTGGTGGGATGGTGTAAACTCACTCGATGAAAAGATCACTCGTTGTCGCCGGAGCAACGACGTGTCGAGTGAGGCTAAAAACGGACAGATCCACTTCCGGCAGTGGATTACCGCCAGTTTTGGCTAGGCGGTGGGGGATGTCCAGGCCACCAGCATCTATGAGTCAAGTTCTAAAAGAAGTACCCTCAGTCCCGTGCGGCCACCGTCCTTCATGGCAGAGAGGACAACGGCAGAGGGGGAGAAATCTCACGGCAAGCGATCTGCCAAGCCGTTTTTTGAACATTGCTACCATCAACACTCGAGGTCTTGTCAATGATGCCGCGATAGACCAGTTGATCTCCGAGGTTGGACAGCAGACGTGGCATGTGTACAAGAAACGATGAGATATGCAGCAGGAACATGGAAATGGCACACAGGTCACGAAGTTATATTGGGAGCCGGATCACTGAGTGGTAAAGTTGGTGGAGTTGGATTCATCATAGCGCCACATTTAACAAAGATGATCAGCGACTACAAAAACGGATTGCGATGCTTGTAGTCGAATTGGGCGGAGGAAAAACAATGAAGATACTGTCAGTATACGCACCAACAGGGGCCTATGATAACAACGCGGTGGAAGAATTCTATGACGCTCTCGATAATGCAATAAACAGCTCCCCGAGAGGAACATATGTCGTGTGCGCTGGTGATTACAATGCACACCTGGGTCGAGGGCATCTGAAGAAAATTTTGTGGGACCTTACAGAATACCAGGAAGGAATGATCGAGGAGAAATGCCAGCATATTCTTCAGATCACAGCGGGTGCGGGTACTTTCAAGACAAAATGGTATCGCAAGCCTGCCAGCAAGAACATACTAGTGCATTTCACTTCAGCCCATCCCTCAGGTACTAAGAAGGCCATCATTAGAAATATGGTGCACACGGCCTCAAAAGTTTCATCAGGAGATGAAGAGAAGGCGGAGTCGGTGAAAAAGGCGCTTTTCATAGCGCGGGCGAAAGAACCAGTAGAAAACCCTTCAGGACGAAGAAGGCGATTGGTCGCTAGAAATCGTAACGAGGAGGAAGGAACAAAAGTTTCCTTCTGTGTACCATTCATATCTGACGAACTTAGTGCGGCCATTCGTTCCTGTTTAAGAAAGGCAGGTCTTCAGGACATGGTGAGAGTTGTAGACATCCCGCCTGCAAACCTCAAAGAACGATTGGTGCGAAATCGCATGTATGATCGCCTGTGTATAACCCCCTCCCCGCGTAA